AAGACTGATTTACTCAAAAATACTAAATAAAACTAGACAATCATTGATTATACTCATGGGCTTCCTTCCAGAGGCAAAAAAAGTTGCTTTTACAAATAAAATAGATTATAGCTCCCACTTTTTTGGAAAACTAGATACTCAAGAGTGCTAACTTGGGCTAGATCAAAGGTTCATTTAGAATTCCTATTGCTGACTGACCTTTTTGCAGTTGTTCTCTGTAACTATACTATTTTTTTCGTACTTGAAGGAACAAGCACAAAAGAGAAAAGAGAAGCGTGAAGAGGAAGATAGAAAACAGCAAGAAAAGGTTGATGCTTTGGTAAGGATTGCACTCTTCTTTTGGTCAGTACTTCATGTAAGACTTCATGAATAGGCCCTGTGCAGCTGGGGGTCACGTGTCTACACCTACCTTAAATCAATATGAATAGGCCCTGTGCAGCTGGGGGTCACGTGTCTACACCTACCTTAAATCAATCAGCTATCAAAAAATAGCCTGTGTACATCTGTTTCTCACCCTCCAAACAAATCGGGCAGAGAACATTTGTTTGGATTTGTTTCATTTGTTTGGAGGGGTGAGAAACGAATGTACACAGGCTATCAAAAAATGATGTTCAGAAATGGAAAGAGCAGGTTTACGTTGGTAAAATAGCAAAGTGTCAAGTCTCAACTCTAAATACTTCAAAAATTACAGCAAATGTAAAATATTGATTTTTCTAAAGAAAAGTTGTTGGGAAAATAGAAATGGAGAGCAAGCTTTGCTCTCCGGTTCTGTTTTTGCATATGTTTCTTTAGAAAAAAAAAGATTTTATATTTGCTATCAATTTTGAAATATTTAGTGTTGAGACTTGAAACTATGTCTTCTTACTTATTTTTATCCCCTCTTTCCATTTCTGAACATCATTTTTGATAGCTGAATGATTTAAGGTAGGCGGGGTCACATGAACCCCAGCTGCAAAGGGCCGATTGGTACTTTTACATATATTAAGCCCTGTCTACACCAGCAATTTTTTTGTGACAATTTTTAATTGCCCGTGTAGACAGGGCTTTAGGGAACCTTATGGGACTTACATGAAGTACTAACCCTTTTTATTGCCAAGATGCCTCATTTATTATAAAGGCTGTGTTATTGCTGTATACAAAATGTTGGAGGACCTCAGCACATCACACATTAGGCAATCCAACATTGTTAGATTATCAAGCACATTTATAGGCAACCAAACAGCAGACTTGTACCCAGTTCTTTTTTGCTACCAGTAGTCACAAAAAGTGAGAGAAGCAGCTGGGTACGAGTCTGATGTTCAGGCAGAGCAATAACTGATATTAAAGACAATATGCATTAATATGGGCAAATTGAATGCTACAGTATGGATTGATGTATCAAACTTGTACAAAATCAGTTTTGTCATGGCCAATTACAGCGGAAATCGTTGCATCGCGACCTCTTTGTTTTGAAGTTTGTACACTGCATTTTGTTCTTTCTTTCAATCTGAGGKGCGGAGCTTTTCGAAAACTCGTTCAATCATTGGCTGATTACTATCAAGCTCTGCTCCCAAGTCGCAGAAAAACCTAAATCCCAACTATTTGAACATTGAAGTCGCGATGCAACAGTTTCTGCTGTAAACAACAAAATAGTTCAATGAAATGCAGGGTGATGTTTGATAAAGTTTTTGACAGACTTAAAACGTCAATAATCAAACTTTKATAAATTATCCCTTCATATTTTCTTGTTTCAATGCTTCAAACCGTTTCCTTCAAACTTAAAATTCTYAAATAAAATTCTCTCTTATCTTGTAACTTGCCTGGACAGCTGCTTMTTAATCACWGTTTTAGAGAATTGAAAGTCCAATAAAATRTTGTGTTGTAATCTCGTTTTCAAAGGGGGGTTCATAAAACATTAATAACAAATAATTCTCAATTTATCTCTTAATTTTATCATTCCAGGTAGCACAGCATACTCAAATGGCTGAAGAGGCAGAGCAAATYAGRCGACAAATTGAGCGATTCAACAGACGAAATAATCATTTGCCMAAAATGGTTGAAGAYGTTAGTAAACTGTTAAAAAAACGAAGGCGAAAATAGTATGTACATTCAAAAATATTAATATACATTTTTAAAACAGATGAGTTTAGGTTGCAAATAATTATAAGAGATGGTAAAAGGAAAAAAATATCAAAATTATTTTAGACAACAAAGAGAAGAAAATGACAGTTTATATTTTTCRTTTTCTTTCTTTAATATAAATACTTAAAAAAAATACGTTTTTTGTTCAGGTTCTCAAAAGGATTTTTTTTTTTTTTTTTTAAAGTTGTATATTTTGTAATGAGAGTTTAATTCATGTTTATTATGACTGAATTGTCTATCCAAACATATTGTATAATAATCTCAAGATAAAGATTTTATAAATATTTTGAGACTGGTGAGCAATTTAATTAAAAATGTTTAAATTGACGTTCGTCTTTGTATACAACAGAGCACCTTTAAACCTTCGTCCAAAATATAAGCSTTATGATAGGCTTGCTGTTTGCCATGGCAACGTAGTCATATTAAAATTAGCAAGACATTGATATGTCTCCATAGCTGCGAATAGAACCAAAAATAAACGCATTTTCTTCGAATTATCATTGAAGTTTGCTATAAAAATTCATATTTTCGATTTGTTAATGTATAAGAATTCCTATATTTGAATATTTTCGGATAAGATAACATTTTCTCGTTTTTTTTGGCGTTTCTCAGTTGTCTTTTTGTGTTACTTTTGTAGCTTCATGCTGCACCGCATATTAACCTTTTTACATCAACACATCTATGAATAAAATATATTTTATTTGTTTAAATTTGCCAGCATTGAATTCGCTTTAAGATTTGTAAAAGTCCGCTTTGTCAAGGGCCCAACAAGATTGAATTTCAACTGCACTCGAAAAATATTACACCTAAAATGCTTTTTAAGCTGATTCTTCCGCGTTGGATTGTACTTCTTGAGAATTTTTTCCCTTTAGATTTTATTTCGTGGCTTTCACATGTACGTGTRTGTTGACTTTTTAGGTCCTTGAAAAAGCGTCTTATTTCGAATAATGAGAACTCGAGCGATTCATATATAATTCTAAAATTTGTAAAAATCTTTGAAAAAACTACATTCAATGTTGYAGAAAATCCACACATTACATTGATGACACGGCGACTTTTCGGTCAACCTTGTATCGCTCTCCGGGACGAATTCTTCGAATCGCTCTGCCGGGAAGACATTTTGGAATTTGCAAGCACCAAGCGGGCATAATATCAAAACACGCCTCGCGAAATTTACCAATTCTCCAGTAATAAATAACAGGCTTCAAAGTACAGTTTAAGTATGTGAGAAATAGAAAAACAGCGCTTATCTCTTTCATGGGAGTCACTGCTTTAAACTCGAAGAAAATCATATAAAATTGAAGTGTTACGTAAGGAAGACAGCATATGACAAACAGAAGAAAGAGTATCAAAATTGTCGTAAAGGCTCGCGTTTTGAAACTGTAATTTATATCCATCCGACCGGGACGATTTATCTTGGTTGCTGTTAGCCTTATTGGTGCCCCAGCGGCCGGGGGATGGTTGCCAACGCGTTGAGAATTCCGTCGAACCGTTCTGAGAATGCAATAGTAACAATAACTCATTATGGCGAACGGGAGAATAAACGCAAACGAAAAGTAGGCTATCCCGTAAGATTTGTCTCGTACGTTGAGCTTTGTAAGCCGAATAGAGCACTGCAATTGACCTTCTGTGTACATATACTGACCCCATTGGAATATAGGGGGAACAGCGAAAAGAACTGCTCCAACCCACGAAGCGACGATGTAGACTTTCGCTTTTTGCGGCGTTAAAGTGTCTTTTCTTCTTACTATTATGAGGTAACGGTCTATAGATATTGTCACTAAAACAAGCGTCGATTCACTGACAAGAAACGAGTAGAATAATCCATTGATATGGCAAAAGACAGAGCCTAGAATCCACTTTTGGGCTATCAGAGTAAACAGAGCGAATGGCATGCAACACACTGCCGTCAAAACGTCGGCCATGGCTAGTGTTGCGAGGAGAAGATTTATAGCTGAGCGCATGGCTGGTTTTTGATATACTATATAGCATACAATCACATTGCCCATAACACTCACAGCTATCATTAATACCATGATTACACCACATACTACAATGAATATGGTGCTAAAGCTTTGTGGAACTGCCGTCGATTCGCTACAGTTGGTGTAGCCATTCATTGTCAAGTTTGTAGAATTTTCATCCGGGATTAAAGTTGAACACATTGTGATTCTATAATTCTTCCATAGCTGATGAAATCAACAAGATTATAGACCGGCGAACGGTGAAATAGACCGTCGAAGATTCGATCGTCGATGATGCCAAACGACAAGCTAAATTCCCTGGGGATTGAGTTTAATTCAACGCGGTGAGATTTCCCTTCTGATGACCAAAACCATATCCACTCCATTCGTAGCGACAATCCATAAAAATCTGTTTTTATCTTCAATTCTTTAAGATCAAAATCCTTGAAATGTTAGATACCCCTTCGGAGAATCTATGATCACCAACACAAGATGAGTGCTTCGTTACCAGTCCGAAGATCAACAATGACTTGGACTCTGCATTTAAATTGACTCCGGGGACCAACAGTACCGATCGATCATTCGATTTCCACCTGGACACGATCTTCTCCTATTTTGAATTGATTGCTCCGAAAAATTTCATTGTAATTACTGTCAATWCGGCTAGCACATGGCATTTTGACTTTAAATTCCCAAATTATTTATGTTTTTGAAAGGTAGGGGGAGGGAGAAGGGAGCATTCGACCATTCAGAAATGTACTGACATTTATAACATTTTAGAAGAAGTTTTGTATTTCAACAGTTAGAAATCTATGAAGAGGCAGTTTGGGATGGTTAAATGGATTGTAGGTCTGGTAATGTATTTAATATTTGATGTTGACTAGTGTATTTATCAATGTTTTTGAGAAATTGACTTAAAAGTGACGTATGAAGAGATCGCTTCACGTGCACTTGATCATTTTCAATGCCTGATGTCATCGGATATCATGGTTTGAAGTTGACTTTTTTTTTTGACGCAAACTATTTTAGTATAAACTTGTGTATTGCTTTTATGATGATGACAATAATGATGCTGATGACATTATTCAGTTTCCTGTTATCATTTGCAATATATCTCGGCATTAATTTTACATAGTTACAAATTATATTAAACTTTATTAACATGTTCTAAAAAATCAAGAAAAAAACAAACAAACAAAAACAAMAAACAACAAAAAAACTTGAATTTGCWAMCCYKRARRARRAWTTTTYCMWYCCCYT